ACACCACACACACACACACACACACACACACACACACACACACATACACACAACACTTGGAAACACCAACCATACACACACAACATTTGGAAACACCAACCATATGCACTCCTAAGCCCTAAAAACCCTACCTCAAAGGCAAGGTCCACTGCGGCGCCCACTGTGTCGGACTGCAGGACATAGACATCGCCGTAGTCAACGCCAATTGACAGACGGATCTGATCGTTCTTTCGCCGACCCTGAGAGTACTGAGCCACGGCGTATGTGACGTCTGCAACCGCGTTTATGCCTGCGTACACGATAAACCAGGTTTTAGTTGGGGAGAAACCACCTGTCGGACTTTGTCGGTATAGAGGGTGTTTTTTTTAAGCCATCTCGCACCTGAGTTGACTATCGCTGGCCCTTGGCGTACGGAATTGAAATATGCGCAACCTCCGTAGCCAGGTTTGAGTGTCCTTCTTGGGCAGCATAACATAGCCATCATTAACTAGTACGTACTTCTCCTCCGACTGACTTGCGACTCATCTGAGTATATTGAGTTGATACACATGAAGAATATCATAGCCATCATTAACCCATACGCAATTCACCCCCGCCTTGGGACTCATCTGAGTATATTGAGTCAATACACATGCAAGGCACATCACAGGGTGGCATATGGTGGCACCCGAAAACTATACCACTGATGTGACAGAGACCTACACGGTCTTAAGAGAAACCCACACGGTCTTATGCTTGCAGATAAACACGGAATGGAAACAGGCAACGACGCACCAGCGATACGCAATCCGCAGGAGCGTCTACCGGCATCGTTGAAACGGAGCACACCAGGTGCAATACGTTAACGCTGGTCAAAAGTACCAATACAAGCTGACTTTAACTCTAGTCAATAGTACCAATACAAGCTGACTTTAACTCTAGTCAATAGTACCAATACAAGCTGACTTTAACTCTAGTCAATAGTACCAATACAAGCTGACTTTAACTCGAGTCAATAGTACCAATACAAGCTGACTTTAACGCTAGTCAGTAGTACCAATACAAGCTGCATGAGGATAGCCTAGCCGCACTCGCACTCTCCCTCCCATGCTGAATACGTTTATACTTAATCTTAACCTCTAGCTGGTATGATACGAAAATGTAAGCTCCATCGCACCCAATCCCGTCACACAAGTCAGACCTGCACCGCAGGCACGCTCTCTGTCATCCTCACGCCATGACTCACCCTGTACTGGATCGTCGAACTGCACGAAGAGATTGTCCGCAACTACCTTGATCAGCTGACCACCACGGTTGTTGACCAGAATGGGGAGGGCTATAGCCTGTGGTATAGGGACATTGAATGGGGAGGGCTATAGCCTGTGGTATAGGGACATTGAATGGGGTGGGCTATAGCCTGTAGTATAGGGACATTGAATGGGGTGGGCTATAGCCTGTAGTATAGGGACATTGAATGGGGAGGGCTATAGCTTGTAGTATAGGGACATCGGGTATTGTAGTATAGGTATATTAAATGGGGAGGGCTATAGCCTGTGGTATAGGGACATTGGGTATTGTAGTATAGGTGTATTGAATGGGGAGGGCTATAGCCTGTGGTATAGGGACATTGGGTATTGTAGTATAGGTGTATTGAATGGGGAGGGCTATAGCCTGTAGCAAACTAAAAAAATGGAACTACAAAGATGGAACTAAAAAACGGGAATTAAAAAAATGGAACTCAAAAATGGAAATAAAATACAATTGAAATCGACTAAAATCCACGATTGAAAGATAGCCGACGGGAGAGTAGACAAGAGATTCGAAGACGGTGATATGCTGACTACAATTAGTACAGAACATATGAGGGCAAGGGCTGATCAGAATGCAATATATGCACAACCCCTAAAGTCTGCTAATCGATAGTACAATGCACACACCCCGGTGCTGACGACGATATGGCAATCCCACATACTTACGAGACCAATAAATACAGTATGCTCGCGTTTATTTAGGGGTTTAAGATAGAAGATATAAGGACACACTGCATGTTCAATTTAGACGGCTATGTACTGTATTGGTGATGTGTTAAGACGTCAGGCGTGCGGGAGATAACAACCGAAATTGAACAGTTTAATGTATAGTGTTGTTCAGGACAATACAAATCTGCAACTATGTTTTCAACTTAGGTTCACATGTAGCTATGTCCGTAGGGACCTGCATAAACCTCTACAGAACTCCACAGTATATCGCGTACTTCAGCAATACTAACCTATCCTAGGACTGATGCACTTTGCATGTATGGTGCGTGTAGTTATATATACTAACTTTACTGGAATGTATATACTTCTGAACTACATAAATGAGTAGCTATGATAGAAGTCGACAAACACATTCTTTATGGGTTTAACAGGACCCATAAACGACACCAATGGGGACTATTGAAATGCATACGTCCCACTTAGGACTTTATTTTGACAAATTCATCTAATAAAGTAGAGTTATTCGTTCCATTCTTCAATTCAATTTAAAGAGCATGGCACTATACAGATTCATTAATATAAAACGAATAAGTACATGTACTCGTGGCTAATACATTCCGCACCCTATAAACAATCACATTAAAACGAAAAACACGATCGACCGCAGCTGAAGATAACGTATAAAAACATATAAAAATTACAAAAATGCACAGATACAAAAGAACACACACATACAAACACCCCAACACACGCATATAT